AAGCCGCAGGGACCATGGTTTGCTGAAGCGCAGCGTTGCATACGCACGCAATCCTTATTCCTCCGAAATAGCATCAGTTAACCGCACAGGGTACAGTAAGAGATAGAAACAGAGAGCGCGTGCTATGGAAACTGGCAGCATAGATCCCCCATATCCTATGGCTCCGGGAAAAGGAAAGGAATTTTGAGTTGTCTGGAGGAACAGCCCTAATGCACGGTGGATCTGCTGATATGGCACATTAATGTAACTTATATAACCCCCAGAACAAGGAACAAGAGCCGTCCACAACACAGGGGGGAGGGGGGGGGCGCCAAATTTCGGAGAAGTCAGGACTTGATTTAAGATTAGGGTTGGGTTAAGAGTGAGCGTTATATTTGGGACTGAGGTTTGGGTTAGTGTCAACTGTAGGGTTAGAGATATGATTAAGGCCAAGTTCCACGTTTATGTTAGGGCCAATTTTAATTGGTGTGTTGTATTATGCGAGGGGGTTTCGTGTATACAGTAGTCGCCGAAGATCACATAACATGCCGACATCTGCGAAAGATTGACACTCTTTCGCTAATCGGCATTGACTCAGGTTGTGATACTGATTATCGTGTAGTTTCTGAAGTTACTGCAGTCATGAGAGGATGCGGGCCTTTTAACGACCTTATTTCTGACCACTAGCAGAACATATCCACATCTATTGCAATATTTTATGACGACTATGTGACTTCTTCCTCAAACACGTAATTTTCCTTAAACAGGATGTACACAGTGCGCAGTTTTTAAACCTTGAATTCGAGTGTAGCATGTCAGTAGGTCAGAACATTATTTGACAATTGAGAAACTTTTTTTTAAAACCGAAAGCTACCCTTTCTTTGAGTTTAAAATTTAAAGAAGGCGTAGTTCGCTGTCAAACGAGTACAAGAAATAATTTGTTCGTGTGTGTTTTCCATAAAATGTACTTGAATTTATAAATGCAGTCAAAATCAATGGTAAGAACGCATAATATTTAAGTAGTTACTTTTTACCGTACCAACGTTTTCTGAGTGTTCAGAAGCAAGCTCGTTAAAAAGCCCGCATCCTGTCATGACTGAAATAACTTGGGAATAGACTACACTATAATCAGTATCACAGTCTGAGTCAATGCCGATTCGCGAAAAAGTATAAATCTTTCGCATATGTCGGCATTTTGCGTGATTTTCGGCGACTACTGTAGTAGCCAATGCTGCCTCGGCAGAGCGTTGGCTTTTTCAAATGGCGCTTGGGTGGCCGCGACTATCTGGACATACGTGTGTGTGCGCGGGAAAGTGGATGGAGTGTCTGCAGGTCAGCGAGTCGGTAACAGCTCGCTGCGCAGTCGCATGACCTTGAGGCAGCGGTGGACATGGAACAAGGGGAATCGGACAGCAATGCTGGCAGTCCGCCATAAAACCTCGTACGCCATTTCTCGAAGTCAGTGGATACGGAGTCATTATCGCTTATCCTCCATGTACAGCATACACTTACGATTACTCCCCGTCACTGTCGTCGGGCCACCTGATATGTCGCCCACTCCTGCCAGAAGGACTCTTTCTTCTTCTAGAATACCACTTTCTCTGCTTCTTATTCACCGGAACGTTGCCATTGATTGCGAGTATGCATTCTACGGACTTTACTTGTTTCCCTATTCTTTGCCAGGAAGATTGAATCGGGTCTGCGTTCAAAGATCTCGGTGCCACAGGCTGATCGAGAACCCGACACCACCACGTACACTGCCAATTCTCAGGCCGATATCGACTCCGATATGCCTCTAGTGGCCTCGAAGAAGGGCTTCCTGAACCACAATCTCAGTGCCTACACTGCGGGTCTCGGTTTCGCCTTGATGGGTTGTATCACAGAGTACATCTTCCTTTTTCGTCAGCTCACTGGACCGGGCACTCCGATGGAGGGTTATCGTCCGGGCGCCTTCTTCCTACTGGCCGGTATGTCTGGTCTTTTCTAAAAATCTTCTTTCTAGCCTCAAGAGGCTTTTAGTATACTTTGAGTCACGTGCCGGCCTAGCGTTTGTGCGAAGTCTGTGTAACTTGACACTGTCTTGGTTTTTTTTGTGAAGGTTACTGAAAAGCAGGATTTTATTTTTCTTCAGGTCTATGCTGTTGCAGTAAGTAATGCATCTAATGAAGTATTAACCGAAATTCCCCAAATATGATTTCGGTCAGAAAATATTACCGAATTGGGGCGGAAGTATCGCCATCCGGAAGAATCTTCAGGTGGCACCGATAGGTTGTGTAACCCTACTTTGCAACCAGTAAGCATAGGCTCATGTGAAACGGGAATGGTGGGCATAGGGGTTTTGACGAATGATCAGAAATATTAACTAGTATGAAAATGTAGAGTTAAGAATACAGATAGTTGTAAATAAGAAGAATGGTGTTTATGTACGCTATTCAGTTTAAAGAACAGCGCGCATTTGGAAAAAAACTGTGTTGTAAGAGTTGTGTTGCAAAATGTCTGGCTAAGCCCTAGCAATCGCCAAGCGAATAATTTTCGAAATTGTAACCAATCTAAAATTACTACTTATGGTTAATAAACTACCTAATAAATAAATAAATATTTATTCAACTTTCTCGCCTCTTCTGAGAAACTTATTTAACAGCCGCGGCTATGGCACACTGATTAGCCGACTGTTTTGCTAAGAATATTCAGTATCAGTATCGGTTTATTGAGGGAAAGATAGGCGAATGCCTTTGCACTCCCTGTTGGTAACAAGATGATAGGAAATAAATGGATACAAGGAAAAATGTAAAAATTACGTCAATTACATGTTCCGGGAAGACACCACTGTTGTTAAGTAGTCAAATAGTAACAAAATTACAGAGAACGATGACTACTCGCTGGTCACGAGTAGTGAAATGCGATGCAGTATAATGTGATTCATTGGTTTTTTACATTGTTTATATGTGCGCTTGGCCTTGATGCACGTCCAGTCTACGGATGGTGATCTCAAAGCAGATTTTACTTGCATTATCCTGGCTAGAATTTCCTTTCCAGTTATTATTTTTAAATAGAAATTCGATCAAAATATCTCATTTCTTTTGCATCTCTTCAGCTCTGGACTCGTGTTTCATGGCGTTGTCGCAGATTTCCTGGTCTATTCTCCTCTTCCGCGCCTACCGTCTCCGCAAGTACTTTCAGATGGTTCTTGTCATAGCGGCTCATCTTGGTCTGTCCGCTATGGTATGTCTCATCTGTGAATCGATTTTATTTTGCTGCTCATTAAGGGCTGTTCCAGGCTGCTTAAGCCTCTTCTGGGGGGGGGGTAAATGTGCCTCTGTGTCGGAACTGGTGGAGACAATACGTTTTAGTAGGCTGGATAAGCAACTTGACCTAAGAGTGATTAAACGTACGGCTTCCGGTGGGGGCATCGTAGCTCAGTTGGTTAGAGCATCAGATGTACTGAAGCCTTCCCCTTGCTGGCATGAGTTTGAAGCCCGCCGGGGCCGCCGAGGCTCGTGAACTTTATATTTTGCGTTGACGCAATTGGAAAAAAACTCGAGGCGTTCGGCGGGATTTGAACCCGCGTATCAGAGAAGGCCTTAACCGGAAGCCAACGCTCTAACCACCTGAGCTACAAACGCCGAACGCCTCGAGTTTTTTTCACAATTGGGTCAACTCAAATTAAGCAAA